ATATCGCACAGGAAGCTCATGAGATCGAAGCCTAAACTTGTTCAAAATATTATGCTGCACTTGAGCTGAAAGGCCCGATGAGAACATTGAAGTTTTAGACATATTTACTTCAAGCCCCGAGAATTTTTCAAATTGGGACAGAACAGTAAATACCCCAGCCAAAGAAGTTTCAGTACCATCGAGGAAGATTAATAGATCACCTGCAAAAGCCAGATGTGTAAGCTTAGTTCCCGCGCATCCAGGATGATATCCAAAAATTCCATCTTCTGCACCCCGGTTCAGCATATAGGATAAAACATTCATGACCATCGCAAACAAAAGAGGAGAGATAGGATCTCCTTGCCTTAATCCAGTCTTCCCTTTAAAATACCCATCAGTAATCCCATTGATGCTCAATGAAAAGGAAGGAGTCGTTATGCAGGCACGAATACATGCCACAAAATCTGAGGGAAAAAGCAAAGCCTTAAGAGTCTCAAGAAGAAAATCCCAGCGAACAGAATCAAACGCTTTAGAAATATCGATCTTAAGCGTTATTCTAGGAGAACGATTCTGTTTATGGTAACCATTTAGAACTTCAGAAGCTAGCAACACATTTTCGAGCAGGAGCCTATTTTTGATGAACCCCGTTTGATTAGGCAGCACAAGATCAGGAAGAACATCTTTCAACCTATCAGCCAAGATACGGGAGATGACCTTATACAAGGAATTGAGACAAGATATAGGCCGGAAATCCTGAATATTTTCTGCTCCTGGCCTTTTTGGGATCAAGATAAGTGAAGTAGAGTTGAGTCCCATTGGCATGAACTTACAGTTAAAGAAATCCAGGACTGCAAGACAAACTTCATTTCCAATAAAATCCCAAGTTGCTCTGAAGAATTCAGCCGTTAAACCATCAGGTCCAGGCGTACGGTTAAGAGAGAGCTTAAAAACAGTGGATTTAATCAAATCAGCCGAAATCGGAAGAGACAGCTTAGCTTGATGAGGTGGCACACAAACTACTGAGATAACTCTTGCAAGATAGTTAGGCAAGAACACACAAAAAGAGCCTCTCAACGTACAAAGAATACCTGCAAAGTGCGCGGCTGCAATCTGGTGGACTTCTTTAAGTGATTGCGATCTCGACCCATCTCCCCGCAACAAGTACGAAATCTTATTGAGAGCATTCCTGACCAGGGTAATTCTATGGAAGAATCGTGTATTTAAATCTCCAGCTTCCAACCATTTAATACGAGACCGTTGGCGAAAGAACATCTCTTCTGCAAGACATAAGAACATCCAAGATTCACGTGACTGTTTCTCCAAGGAAATATTTTCTTGG